TAAACCAAGGTTAATCAAGGTGATCAAGTAGTGTAGGCTCGCATGGACCTCCTATTGGATGGTGAAAATCATTTTGGGACACGAATAGATGTAGGGAAGTACTGTCCTTGGCTTGACTTGGCTTAATCTTCTTTGAATTTAACTAAGCACCCATTAAAACTCATTTAACTCAACCTGACCGTGGTTTAACTTTCTTAATTAGGGTTAGGCTTGCTAGTTAAGTTAGCTTAACATCTTGACCACAAAATTAAACTAATGGGTTTGGCCAATTTGGGCTTCAGCATTGATTTAGCTCAATTGGACCCATTTGGGCCCAATTGTTGGGTCCAATTGAGTTAAGTTGGGTTCACTAGCCCCAATTGATTAATTCAAAGGATAAGTTGTGGGTCTAATTGGATGTGATACACCCAAGGACTTCCAATGGAAGCTCTAGGGTCAATTGATTTTGGCCAATTTAAAGGATTGAGTTCGTATGGTTGAAGGGGTATCAAATGGGTTCAAGGTTGACTAACCTTGGGCTAGGGGTCGACTAATCTTGGGTCAAAGGGTCCTAAGGGGTTGATGAGGACATTAGTAGGAGATTCCAGAACGTTTATCATCGGAAGCATCGGAGATCAACGGCTATGATTAGAAGCCTGTATTTTTGAATTATTTCATGTATTAGCTTATTTTATTTCATGTTGGATGATTGTACTCTTGCTTATGTTTTGTTTTAAGTTGTAGCTCAGAGGGCATTTCAGTCACTTCTTTTCTTTTCTCTTTGAGGCTTATATATATGTCCCTTAGTCTTATATAAGGGTTAATGATTGATTATTAAAAAGAAAAAAAAATTCTTCGTGAACTTGTGAGTTCCTGATTGGTGAAGTCCCAAAGTTTGGGCAAAGCAACACCCACCAGTCATCAGAATTGTCCCCGGCTCGTAGTTCAATTTCTCTCTCTACTCTCCTACCACCGGCCACCATCTTCCTTCCTAGCCACCGGCCGCTAAGCCCCATCCCCCCCGCTAGCCAACAGCCCAAGATCACCCTCCTTCCCACCTACCCACCGACCAACCCCAAAGCCCCCTCCTTTTTAGCCGCTGGCCAATCCCTCCACCACCATCGGCTTCTTCCCCTACCCCTCTTAGCCGCCGGCCACACCTTCCTTTTCCTCTCTTAATAATGATTTCAATCATCATTAATACCTACTTAAATTAGCCTAAGTAATTTGGAAAATAAACTAACTCAATTTGAAATTCAAGTTTGAATTTCAAATTCTTTCCTAAATTAACTAAAGCTAAATTAGGAAAGTTCATAAAATCAAGTCTAATTTAAAATCTAATGTCTTTATTTCCTTCCTAAATTAAAACAATGATTTAGGAAGCTTTAAATTCCCCCTCAATCTCCTCCCTTCCCATGCATGCCCCTCCCCCCCGGCCCTCTCTCCTCTCTCCACTCAATTAATCCCCAAATGAATTTGAAATCCAAATTTCAAATTTCAATATTCCTTTTCCTATTTTACTAAATCTGAAATTAATTTCAGATTTTAATTACCTTTCCCTTTCCCAAACCCTAACCCAAGTTCTAAAGTAAGCCCCTCTCCCTTGGCCGACCCCCTTCCCCCTCTTCCTCTCCTTGGATTTTCTTCTTTCATGAGTTATAGAGAAGAAGAAGAAGACAATGTTCCCTTCCCGACTCTCTTACTAGTGCATGGACGATCCTGAAGTAGATCACGACTTCACTTACGATTCTCAAGGACAGATAGATATTCTTCAATATTCGTTCTTCGACCCCGACTGTTAGATTGGCTGCGACGTGCGAACGACGTGCGATGGCAGAGAGCAGGTAAGCGGGATTTGATTTTTTTTTTCTTTTTTTTTTGTTTGGCTACGGGAAGGGTCAACACGACCGTATCCTATTCCACTTAGTCGAGACTATCGACGAGCAACTACCTTCCGGACAGTGCTAAATCGTCATGAGTTGAAAGCAGTGAATAACTAATAAGTCATATTAGGGCATGATGATACCAAGTATCGGTTGTATGTGTGAATATTAGAATGATATTGCATTAGAAACAGTTTGGCATATAAATTTGTAACATCAGCATGATATAACCCGTTATAAGAACTATGACATGATATTGTTACATCGTTATGTTGATTATCGATTGTTACTCCTACCTGTCTGATTGGTTATACTTCATGCCTCGTTCCTTTATCGTTTATGTTTTAATAGATATGAGTTACTTGTTAGATTTGAGTTATCAGACTCACTCGTTGTTTTTGTTCATAACAGATCCTTCTGGAGTGTTAGGTGAACCATCACTGTAAGAGCAAATCTACCAGCCGTAATATATATTTGGTATTTTTATGGCATGTAGTAGGTCATTCGTATGTATTTCTTCTTGAGGGTTGGGTAGTATTCATTACACAGTTGTGCCTTTCAAATCTCTTTTGCTTGTATTAGTTTCTATTTTGATTATGTACAATAATTTGAATTTATGATAATTAAATAAAAGCTTAGTTTCTTTCGTTGTTTACTCTGATATATTATGTCTATATTACTAGTACATGCACTTTTTTTATGAGCACTAAAATAGATCTTATTTCTTCATCATGTCCTGTATTGCCGGGGTGTACCGCCTTCCGGACCCAAAGTGTGACATAGTTGGGCTAGGTTGAGTAAATTAGGTTTAATAGGCCCAACCAAGGGGTAATTGTATCAATTTCATAAATGGTGTGCCCACTCAAGCCAATTGGAAGGCTTTTTAAGGTTAATTTGATCAATTTGGCCAGTTGGCCTAAAATTCAATTGGGTCAGTTTGGGCTAATTAAGTTAATAGCCTAAATTAAGGGCCAATTGGTGCTAATTCATGTGTGATTGACCTATTGAAATTGATTTAAGGTTTTAGTTTCAAACAAGTTAGTCAATTTGAAGGTATTGATCTAATAACTTCAAATAGGTTCATTTGATTTGTATTGGGTCTAAGGGTCTAATCATGCTACTCAAAAGATCTATTTAGCTCAATTAGATCTTTTCTAAACTATTGGAACCTATTGAAAGACTCTCCAAGGTAAATTTATCCAATTCTAGGGTTTAGATCTATCAAACTGAATATATGGAGTGCAATTTTAGTAATAATAGATCTAGTCGGGGATTGTGACTTTGGGCGATCAAGTCATTAATAAGAGTACACGTTTTAGATATATTGTTCAGAGCGTGTTGAAATAGATGGAGATATTATTAGTAGAATTCAAGTTGGATGGTTGAAGTGAAGGAATGCATCAGGCTTGTTGTGTGATAGCAAAGTCCCTCTCAAACTTAAGGGAAAATTCTATAAGATGTGAAACCTTGATCATCACCCGCATGAGCATTATAAGGCCTTCAAGGCCTATGAACAGAGAAATTCATCAACAAAAACATAAATCCTATGGACCCGATCCTCTATTAACAGACCTGCAATGCTTTATGGTGCAGAATGTTGGCCATTAAAAGAGAAGCATAAAATTAAATTAAGTGTTGCAGAGATGAGGATGCTCAGGTGGATGAGTGGCTTTACTTTAAGAGACATGATACGAAATTAGCATATACATGAAAAGGTTGGAGTAGCTCCAGTGTAAGATAAGATTTTAGAGAGTCACCTTAAATGGTTTGGTCAGATAAAACGGCGGCCTTCTGATGATCCGATTAGGAAAGTAGATGTATTAGATTTGACTTATATTAAGAAAGGTAGAGGGAGACCTAAAAAGACTTGATTAGAAAATATTAGAAATGATCTTTCTTTACTAGATTTAGATGAGAATTTGTCACTTAACAAGACACAATGGAGAAAAAGAATTCATATAGCCACATAGTGGGATAAAAACTTGTAGTTGTTGTTGTCTCGAGATTAGATATGTTGGCCTAATTGGGTTCTTTTGGGCTAAATAAGGGTTTATGGAGTTTAGATTGAGATTCGAAGCTATAAGCTTGGCTACATTTGAGAAATACAAATAAAATTACAACATAATACTTAACAATACTTTTGAAATTATTCAAGTGTTTCTATCTTGTAATTGTCCAAAGTACTTAAGCAAATCCTGATGAATTCCAAGCTAAGGACAAGATTATTCGAGAAAGAAGTTCCTTTAGTGAACTCTCTGTGAGGTCATTCTTATTGGGTGAGTGATTTTAAGGGAATTGACCACCTTTGTTTCTAAATTTTATCTGCAAGTATTTTCTTTCTTCAGGCAACTTAAGCTTTGGGGTGAGTTAATCTAAGAAGAAATTCATGGGAATGCTTCAAGTGATTGTCATCTTAGCACCAATGAGAAGGACCATTATGGGAACTTATGCGAAGGGATCCCTTAAACAGGGATCTCATGCAAGGAATCCACCAATTCTACCCGACTATTTGTGGAAGAACCTACCCAAAAGCATCCTCGCACAAGAATCTCAAGCCGAGTAGTTTTGTGTTTTCTTCTTCGAAATCTCCCCTTCAGATTTTGGTTCTGCCACTTGGAAGAGGAGGATGAAGAAGATTGAAGAAACAATACACTTATTATCAATCGTATTAAAAAAAGGGGGGATTTTCACATCAAATTTGCAACTTCTATGCATTTTCATCAAAAGGGGCCGATTACACGGAGCTTTCCACAAATTTGCCAAAACTGTAAAATGCCGGCCTTCAGCTGGTCCCCCATCAATCGGCAAAATAGAAAACAATAAAAACCCCATATCCAAAACAAGCAGAAGAAGACTAGAATCCAACCAAAAATGGATCAGAAACAATCAAAATACTTCAAGGATAGGAACAATAAATAAAATAAAAAGGAAGAACCTGAGACCGCCACATGGTATTCAGATCCAAAAACGAAGAACTAATACAAGGCAACCAGCTCAAAGCTAAGAACTTTTCTCCCGCTCGTTCTCATTGATGCTAGCAAGCAAATGAATGTATTTGTTCTTTCTACTAAAAATATGTGCGTATAAACTCAAAATTTTAGCTGAAGGATCAAACAGTGGGAATTGGTCAATAGATACCGAGAGAAATGAGCGGAGCCAGCTCGAGCTCGACTTAACAGGTCGCCACGGCCAGTGGAGCTTGTGGAGCTTATGGAGCAACCAGCTGAGTTTGTGATTTTTCTTTTTTGAAAAAAGTTGTTGCTCTGTAAAGCATTGCTGGAGTTGCAAAACATTTTTTTCATTCTTTATAACTTTTTCTTCTTATCCACTACAGAACGATTTTCTCATTTTTGAAAATAGGATACCTCCTTCCAATGACGACCAAGCAAGCTATATCCTCCATTTCATCCCGAGTCGAGCTCTTGAGCCTGAGAGAAAACGGACAAGTTGAGCTCGAGTTCAAGTGGGACGAGTCAAGCTAAAGTTTGCCACTACTAGAGAGCTCGATTCGACTCGTTTACACCGCTATTATCAGACTGTTTGATAGAATGGGCAGCTGAAATACCCAAATAGGACTTCGAAATGGATGAGCGCTTGGTTATTAATCAAGATGTTTTGAGTTCAAAACTTAGTATGTGATGTGTGTGTAAGTTTGTTTTAATGGCTCAAATGTCCAACAAAAAATATTATATAAGAAGGCCAAGTAGAGTCCAGCTCGAGTCACTTTGGGCTCGAGCTTGATTAATTAATCAAGTTCTAACTTGAATTTTATTTTACGAGCTTGAGTTGGCTCATGAAGCGGCTCGTTTATTTTGAAAGAGAGACAGTGTTTATGATTAAACCCATTATTATAATAAAATAATAAAAAATTTTGAGAAATTAGAAGAAAATTAATGAATAATAATTTAATATAAGAAACTGAGATGTAATTTATAAATATTTTAACAAGTTCGTATGTAAAAATACTAAATACTAATATATCTTAAATGTATTTCATATTCATATTTTTTTAATGAGCCGGCTCATGAGCCAATAAGCTGAGTCAGGATTTGCTTAAGCTTAATTAGTCCAAATTTTATTAACTCGTTCACCGTGCAACATTGCTCGCTACCTACAAGATTTAGTGAGTAAGAAATCTTTAAATCCTATAAAATGGGATATTTAATAACTACAAAATTTAACGCTATCTATGAGTACTTCTGAAGCCAATTTAAATCAAATATATTCGGTCTATCGTATATTATTAGCTTTAGATTTTATTTTTTATTTTAACAAAATTATATTAAACCAAAAGACAAAAGAAGTACATTAGGTAATGAAGCTAGTGACAGAAAAAAAAAACTCAAACTGAATGGCTCAGTTATTGGCTGAGGCTCCCAGCTTCCTTGAAGTCAAGCACAGACCCTCCAATTTAGTGAAGATAAACGCGACAAAGTCAAGCCAACTGACCATCCAAGCCACCTGAGCAAGAGCGAACACCAAAGGTTGTCATTAGCCATGACGACGAGGAAACGAGCCCCAGCCACATCATAGCCAGCGAATCCCTGACCAACAAAACTCGAATGATTCACCAAAAAAACTAGCCAGAGGAGGGCCAAAAAAACCAAGAACTACCTACCCTGTCTGCCCCTCCCACGGGATCTCCCACTAGATCCAATAGAGAAAACCGATCGGTCACAGACCAATTAGTACGCTAGTCCTAGACAGACATGTTAATAATTTGTCGATAATAAGAAAACTATTCCTTTGCACATAGGATGGCAAATTCCACATTCCATCACAATAAGCTCATTAATTTTAGCATCAAGAGCCAACCAATTAAGTAAATATAATTAACGAATATTCCAAATAGAGAATTTCCTTAATCCATAGATTGAAAGAGAGCTCTAATTGTTAACCTTAAATTTTAGCTAACTTTGCAGTTTATAACTTCAACAGTATGTATAGATTTTCATAATTAGATTTTACTTGAGACAGTTTTAGATTATTATTATCATTAGTATTAAGAGAATTTTCAGATTACTTCTATTTTTATTTTTATTTTAGTTTATTTATATTGTAATAAAAAATTAAATATATTTAATATCTTTAAAATTGTTAATCATATTTTTAATGAATATCTAATAAATTAATTTGAACAGTGATGATACGGTTGTTGGCGAAGCAGAGGTAGCGGTTGGCGGGACGCTGACCACAGTGGTGGCGCCGGCATCAGTGGCAACCGGCAGCTGGCAGCTGGTGATTGCAGCAGCGGATAGTTTAAGAAAAATATAAAATAAAAAATTAAAATAATTCCAAACCGACCGATATCCACTAGCAACCAAGCTCCTACCCTGGACCGGACGGTGTGAGCCCGGTCTATGAAAATCTTAAAATCTGATCTACGGAATCCGTGATCCACCCTCATTTTAAGCGACTCAGTGGACCAACAACTTAGGTCCCACCCAAAAAAATTGGCTGCATTGCTGACGTGGGATCCGTAGACTCGTAGTCACGGCTGCATGCTGTGTAGTCCCCCGCACTCAATCCAGAAAGGCCGGGGAGCAGGCACGAGCTGGGGCGTCGGATGGAATTCACACAGAGTACATGCGCCTCACTACTACTATGTACTTGCCTTGTCGATCCCAGTATAAAGGAAGCGAGAAAATAGGGATTTAAAATAAATAATAATTTATTGAAATAAATAATATAAAATATCATCGCATAAAAATAATGCTGATTTTTACTTATAAATCAATCAAGGCATATAGAATTACTAACATACCACTCTAACATTTTAATATTAATAATAAGAGGATTTACATATATACCACATAAAACTTTTTCCATAAATTAATTTCAAATTAATGTTGTTATCTACATATTAATTTAGCAAATAAAATTATTGCTAAATTGATTGAAATTTAATTATTTCCTTAAATTACGGCTAAATTATGAGTAAAGTTACTTTAATTTAATTATCCATAACTTAATTTTAATTTAATATAATTATCTATAAACTTGGTAACAAATATACTAGATATCATATAAGAATTTTAAAGAAAAGGCTAGCCTAGTCATTCTAGTGAGAAACGACTAGTTGCCATCCTACTCGGCTACGTGCCACATCCTCGAATTTTTATTTGGTCCGATGACCTGACGTAGCTCTACGTTCGGACGCCAGTAAAATGGTGGCACGTTCTCTTATTCTTTACCGTGCGGACCGATGATCCGACCCAGACCGGTCACGGGATTGCTATGTATTGGCTGATTTGTGAAGACCGGGGTATTGCTAGGTATTGCTCTATATTGCTCGGCAATAACGAGAAATATCATTCTGTGAAGACAATTACCTAGCAATACCGAGCAATACCTCGGTTTTGCTAGGTATTGATCTTGACATAGCGGTATTTATCGTTCTTCTCAAGCAATACCTAGCAATACCAAACAATACCTAGCAATATCTAGCAAAATCTAGCAATACGCGAACATAGCAATATCAGGTTCCGATCCAGGTTGGGTTATCGGGCCGTGCGGTAAAAAATAAGAACACATGACGACATGTTATTGATGTCCAAACATAGAGCTACCATTATTCCACATCCTCGCCTCGGGCCACGACAACAGAGCCGCGCCACTATCCTCAGTTTCTGTTTGCTCCACTAACGTTGCCTGTCTGGCTCACCTGATCGACCCGCAACCCGCCCGCTGATGCCCCTAGCCAGTAATTCAAACTGCAAACAACTGGCCTAGTCATTTGAACCGCAAATAATGACTCGTGATCATGTGCCACAAGGTTCGTCATCCACGTTGTCACCATCCGTCCACGTAGCCGCACCAAGGTTCCTCGCCACGTAATCATGCCACATCAAATCTAATCCTTGCTTGAGCACACCATTAGCATTACTTTAAAAATATTTTATTTATGATTTCTATTTTAAATAAAAAATTTGTAGCCGTTTTTACTTTTAAAATTTGTCCTTTTATAATTATCTTTGTATGGAAGTTGTAAGGAGAGCTTATTGAAATGAATTTAAAGGTTTTTTATTACATAATGTAAAAATATTAGTTTTAAATTAACACCAATTAATCAAATTAAACTAATCAAAATAATATTGAAGATTTTAGTGTATAGAAGAAAAAAAATCAAAATATAAATCAAATACTCATAAAAATATCAAAATAATATTCATTCTTGATATGTGAAAAAAATCAGTTTAATCGAGCACAAATCTCGGTGTATATTTGAATTAAAAACTTCAAGAATCAAATTCAGGGTCATATGAATTTCCTGATTTCAAGAAACGTATATTTAAACTACACGACATGAATAGATGAACTCAATAATATCAAAAGTGATCCAACCGATCTCCAAATCTATATAAGCACTTGAAGCAAATAAAAAATTTTAGGACATTAATTAGATGATCAAATTATTTCTAAATCTCACATGCTTATAGTCAAATAGATTATCTTGACGAGACGAATGAGCCAATGATCATTAAACTCCAACCTCATTAAGGTTCTTAGATGCAAAAAGAAAGCTATATTATCAAAGAATTAAAATATAAGCGATCTGATAATTGCTTGAATTTTATCAATATTTGCAAGGCATGTCATTCTAAAACTCTATAAGTAGAGCCCCGTTCTCCATATGAGAGAGGACCTGTGGCTTGATATTCAAGAGAGTTGAATCACTTAAAGAATATATGAGCTCTATTATTGCACCATCATCATCGGACCATCACCAACAGATGACCACCAATAGGTAACTGTCATCAAGCCACTACCATCTAAACATTACAATAAATCCACCACAGTTTGACTACTATCATCATACCATTGTCATCAAACCACAACCATTCGTTGGACTACCGCCCTCCAAACGCCAACTATGTATTGGAGAAATTAAATAAATCAATTAATTCTTTAATTTGAGTTTCCTTTCTTTTTTGCTTCAACATTAAGATGGGCTTCAAAGTTTTTTTTTTTTTTTTTTTTTTTGACTCTCTTGTACATGTATGGTTGAGTAGAGTTCTTTGTATTCATCATCAAGACTGCTGAGAATTTTTAACATAAGGTCATCTTCATCGATGGAGTTGCCAAGCATGGTTAGTTCATCAATGATAATTTGATCATGATACATGTACTTAGTGATCGCTTCTGTTCCTTTATTGAGAAAACGAAGGTCTTCTAGTAATTGGGTGAGACATTCAATTTTATTATATATATATATATATATATACACTAACAATGGTGCTGAGTTTATCTCACTAAAGCCCTTCCTTGCCTCATATGATATATCTCACTTAACTATGTCTCCACATACTCCAAAAAATAATGAACTCACCAACGTCGCCATCGGCACCTTGTCGAAATTACTCTTACTTTACTACATGCCCATTTTCACATGATTTGTGACCACATGCCTTATCCACCATCACGTACTTAATTAACCGTATGCCCGATATCATACTTGCAATCCAATCTCCATTCGAGAAACTATTCACTCAACACCCCAATTACTATAAGCTAAAGGTGTTTGTGCACTTGTGCTACCCATTAATTTGACCCTATGGAACCACAAACTTGATCCCCGCTCCAAACCTTTGAGTATTTTTAGGCTACTTAACCACTCAAAGTGATTACCTATATTATGACATAATCATCAATAGATTAGTCATATCTCATCATGTGAAATTCTTCTCCCCACTGAATCTACCTTATACTTTTAGACAAATTAATCAAATATGTTGTCAAAAAACAAATCAAGCACACAATTTTCCTTATAACCTTTTCACCAAACAATCCTCCAAACGCCTACATGTTTTCTCCACGTCTGAAATGTCCACCATGACCAAATGTTGCTAATTACTCTCCAAATTTTTGTTCACCACCAAAACTTGCTCATTTCAAAGCTAAAAAACTCCACAAAAACTATGTCCACCAAGTTAAACGCACGACTACTCCCGTAATTTTAGTCCAAGAAGCCTTCTCCCTCCATGACAACCTTCGAACTCAATCTCCTCAATAACCCCTCATTAAACACCCAAAATTCTTTACCAACATCATTAAAAAAAAAAAAAATCAAACCAGTAGTAACAGCCATATAACAACTAAAAATTTGACAGTTGTGGTCCCCATCCACCCTATGAATGCACCTGCACATAAATCCAATCCTCAAGACCCATCCAATGACTCCACTATTCCAAATAAGAAAATAATATTCCTTCCTCCTCTTCCCCCTCGCACTAAGCCCAATCATCCTAAATTACAGTAAGCATAAATTCTCCTACGTCTCCCTCTTCTCTCATTAGTTTAAACTACCAAATACTTCATATAGATCTCACCAAAAAACATCAAACCAATTTGTCAACTTCAATTAAAAAAACATTTTAACCAAAAACATTCCTATGATACACAACCTAACCCCCCCCCCCCCCCCCCCCCACCCCTACTTTCTTCTCTGGCAACAAACATCACAGGTAAACTCAAGCAAAAAATAACATAAAAAAATATCTCACTAAACTTAGTCTCATAGCATATCCTCTATCCTCAGCCCATGAACCATCATCGGCAGGCCAAGCCATGCAACATCTTGAATGGCGTGTTGACATGTCGGAAGAATTTAATGAGCTCATTTGAATCTCGTCCCTCCTACACCTCCTCCAAATCTTATTGATTGCAAGTGGGTATTTCACATCAAACACAATCTCGGTGGCTCCATCTATTGATATAAAGCTTATCTTATGGTGAAAGGGTTCCACCAATGCCTTACTATTAACCATCATGAAACATTCAAACTTACAACAATTCAGCTCATCCTCATCTTTTCTCTCTTCAAAGGTTGCTCAATCAAATAGCTTGACATCAACAAGGCCTTCATTATCATCCCATTGACGACATCTACATGCGCTAAACACTAGATTTTCATGATCCCAATAACCCTACTAATGCGTGCCACCTACAGATAGCTCAATATGGTCTTAAACAAGCACCTTGTGCTTGGTGCCAACAATTTTGCTCCTTTCTCATATCCATTGGCTTTGTTAATTCAAAGAAACAAATTATTATTCATTTACTCAAAAGCATGCCTAACAATATATCTCCTAGCATATGTGGACAATATCATTCTCACAGGTGGTAATGACACTCTTCTTAAACAAGTAGCCAACCAACTTTTCACAAAATTTTGCATCAAAGATGTTCGAGATACCTAAGTTTTTTTTAGTGTTGAAGTTATACCCTCCACTGAAGGCCTTTTTCCTATCCCAATACAAATATATTCAAGATCCTTTAGAATGGACAAATATGGAAAATGCAAATGATGTTACTATGCCCATGTCTCCCCCAACATGCCCACCATACTTGATGGCATCAATCTCATCGATCATTGGTTGGTTGTCTTCAGTATCTCTCTCTAAGTTGGTTAGATCATGCCTTTGTTGTAAACAACCTCTCGCAATTCATGCATCACCCGACCACGGTTCATTGGAGTTCTGCCAAACAAATTCTTTGCTACCAGTGAGCAACTAGTCATCATGGTCTATTTCTTCGTCGCAACTCTCCGATCACCCCATGGGTTCTTACATGATGATTAGGCTGACAATTTGTGGACCAAACTTCCACAAGTGCTCACATTATTTTCCATAGTCGCAATGCCATATCTCATTGCTCTAAGAAATGAAGTACTATCGCTTGCCATCTATTGAAGTAGAATATTGTGCAATTGCCTCTATTACTGTTTAAATCACTTTGTTAAAATCTTCACTCTACCCACCATACCAACAGTTTTTTTACGATAATATTCGTGACCTACTTATGTGCAATTCCAATTTTTCATTCACGTATGAAGCACATTGCTATCATCTTCCACTTCATTCTAGAAAAAAGTGCAAAATAGTGACATTTAAGACTCTCATGTGACATCTAATAATCAACATGTTGATGCTCTTATCAAACCTTTCTCGTCATCAACTCAACAATCTATGTGTCAAGATTGGTGTCATCCACTTGACTCCATCTTGAGGGAGCATATTGTAGAGATTAAATAAATCAATTAATTCCTTAACTTCAATTTCTTTTTTTTTTATTTATGTATTAAATTGACATTAATTATAGGTGTTGATTCACTCTCCTTTCGGTTTCCTTTCATTGCAGGTGTTAATTTATCTTCCTTTTTTGTTTCTATTCATTTAGTATATGTATTAAATTAACATTCATTTCAAATGTTAATTCATTTTTCTTTTTGTTCATTATTTTGTATCTATAAATATTGCACAAAGTTTATGATACAAAATAATGAGAATATTTTTTTTTCCTTTTTAAATTATCTTCTCTGTACTATGATCCTCTAACCGTTGTTTCACAGTTATGATCCTACGACACCATCACTCGAATCTTGTTCATCGTTTAAAGCTAAGATATTAAACTTTCTCCCCCTCTTTATCAATGCAAATATTTTAACCTGCAACAAAGCTGTATCAATATTTTTGAATATGACATGATGACATGACATCTGATTAGAATCTGATATGAACAATTTTCTTAAATGGGGGAGTTAAACCAACTCATACTTCTCACAATGATATTCCATCAAATCCCTCACAATCATAATCAACTAAAGAATCCTAAAAATTTCCAAGCTAAATTGGAAAGAAAATAGGCTCGCAAGTTTGGAGATGTGGATTACTAGGCTTCCCAAGCACCTCTCATTTCAATGGGTTGGAAGGCCTCAAAAAGAAAGAAAAAGTTCGAGGCATCATTAGTTGGAGAGAGAGAGGTTGTCAAGTGGTTTGGTGGACAAGTGAGCAACCAAATTGAGCTCACATGCCATCCTACCAATATTTAAATGAGCTATAGAAAAGAAGAGGAAGAAAAAGGGGGGAGTGTCATTAACAATAGAATCAAAACTAGCTTTATTTCACAAACCATCACAAGCTAGGCATGCCAATTGGCGATGACTTGATGAGTTTAATAATGAAATTCATCCCAAGGCTGAAGCTTTACAGGCCTGTATAAGAAATTGGGTTGTTGGCAAAAGTAGATTGGCTGGCAGTGAACTGAATTACTTTGAATGATTATTATAATAATGCTTTTTGGTACCTATTTGAGTTTTCTCCTTAGCAGCAATTGCCATTGCATCAGCCTTTTCTTTAAGAGTTAAATATTTGCTTACCAAGTGGTTCATGTACATAGAATAACACTCCAGTTGTCACACTTTCTAATTTCCATTTTCATCTTCTCTACTTGGAAGATAAGATACCAACAGAGTCAAAGGAAAAAAAACAAAGCTTTTGTTTTCTTCCTGTGCTTCAGGTGAACTAAATTTTTGTTTTTCGGGAGAAATTAGGGGAAAATCCCATTTCATTATAAACAAATGTGGTTACAGATTAGAACAAAAGGAGGGATATGCTACAAGAGCATATACCTGAAAAAAGAAGCAAAGCTACTTAAAAAATGAACCAAAATCCTCCTTTTCTTGTAATCTGTACTTACTGTAACCACATTTGTTTATAATAAAATGGGCTTTGCTCCTAATTCCCAAAACAAAAAATTTATTTCACACAAGCAGAAAGCAGAAGCTTTGTTTTTTTCCTTAGACTCTGCTGGTATCTTATCTTCCAAGTAGAGGATGGAAAAGAGAAATTAGGAAGTATGATAACTGGAGTGTTATTCTATGCGCATGACCCATTTGGTAAGCAAATATGTAGCTCTTACAGAAAAGGCTGAAGCAATGGCAATTACTTCTAAGGAGAAAATTGATTCCAGAAATGCATATTAGGTACCAAAAAGCATTATAATAATAATCGTTCAAAGTAATTCAGAATATAAAATTGAAGACGGCACTCACATTGACATATTGCTTACGACAAAGAAAGTAAACAGTTCTTGCTGCAGAAATAAAACTTCAGAATTGCTGAAATCTGAAGCAATCAGAACAGCAGGGAAGCACTCAGGGAAACAAAGGCTGAATAACAGGAGGATAAGATCCTTTACCAAAACAAATCTTGATGCCAAGAACTTTGCATGTTGATCATATACAGCAAAAACAGCAGAAGAGGAGAAAATACCAAGAAAATAATTCAGTTCGTGCTGGATTCTGTTCAACTTTTCAAAACAAAACAAGAGAGAGAGAAATAAGAAACAATTTCAAGCAGTAATTCATCGTTAGTTTCCTTTATTATGGTTTCTGTTTTAAGCTAAGATTCATTCTGGAAACGAACAGATCTAACAAAATCAACCAAGAAAGTTGAATCATTAGTGACACAGGAAGCTAAAAGCTCCCAAATTTTTACCTTTTCTGGCAAACTAAAAAGAATGAATCAATGAAATAGGAGCTCAAGCAACTCCAAGGCAGAGTCTGTACACTATCTGCATCTTTAGTTTTTCTTCATTAATTGGAGATCGAGCTTGCCTAATGCTGCTCATGCTTACGGCTCAACTCGGCCCACCAAGCTTTCAAATTGCTCGATCCCTCAACCACGGGAGCTGGAAGATTGAGATCAAGAGGCTCTGAAAAGTGCTCAACCACGATTCTTTGATGATCACCTCCGCCTTCTCTGCCTCCAATATTCGAGATCAAATGAGACCTCTTGTGCCCACCCAATGCCTGGCCCGATGAGAAAACCTTACCACAAATGTTGCACTCATGGATTCTGCTCTTCTGACCAACTACCCCTAGGTTTTCGACTGAAGCTTCAATGTCGAAGCTAGGGTTTTCCCTGCAGCAATTTCTAATCCTCTTGTGGCTGGCGCGGTGGCCTCCGAGAGCGTGGTAGGACTGGAATACCTTCTTGCATGTTAAGCATTTGTATCTGCTTCCCAAAACATTCAATTCATTGAAGGGGTAGCCATTGTCACCAAGCATTGCTCTCTTCTTTCCCAATACAGTAGGATTCATAATCTTCCTCTTCCTTAACTCATCGCCAGAGTCCTGCTCTGAAATCTTATCGGAGAACTCGCTGATATCTCTGGAAAGCATCATGAGAATGACAGCCACATCCTCTTGCTCCGGCTCGTAACCAGTTATCGACGCCGGAGAAGCCCGCTTTGACCTCCGCTTCCTCCTCGGTACGACTGGAATGGGAAATCGTGTTTGTTCATTTTCATCCGAGAAACTCTCAGAAGAGTCCTTCTCCTCGATCCAAGATCCTTCTTCTTCCTCCTCGAAGCTTCGAGGGTAATTCAACTTCACAGAGTGCCATCTCATGTGACCAAAGAGAGATTTCCAAGAAGGAAACTCTTTGCCGCATTCCTTGCAGAGCTTCGAAGATGGAGCAAGATCTTCACCAGCGAAATCCGATGACTTGAATGTCTTCTTGGGATTCTCCCTGAGGCCATAACCAAATCCCAAACCCACTTGACCTCTGCTTCCCTCCAGCTTCTCCTTCTCCTCCGCATCCGAGTGCGATGAATGGATATGAGACCTCATGTGGCCGCCGAGGGATCTTCCGCTGGAGAAGCTCTTGTTGCAAATCTTGCATCGATGCTTCTGCTGTTCCTTCTCTGTCTCCATACGAAACTAGAGAAAGCAGGGGAGGTTGGCCAAGATTGGAAAAAGCTGCAATAGAACTCAGAAGGATTAGTCGAATTTGAAGAGATCTTCAGCGTTCTTGATTTTTACGCTGTTCGGCGAATGACAAGGATCTGAAGCCCTGCTTCTGTTTGGTCTGCTCTGCTTGCTTTCAGCTACTCTGTTTTTGTGCTTGGAACGGGTCAGCTTTCTTTTAGGTGATACAGCGAGAATGTAGAGAGAGAAAGAGAGAGTTTTGGGTCATTTCGATCTCTCCGTTGTTTTATTTGGGGATGAAGCCGCCACTTCGGCTAAACGATGGGAGGAGAGCGATTCATGCATAGAGGACACGGTTGGATTTTTTTTTTTTTTCTATTTTCTTTAAAACGAATGTTAAGATATAAAATTAATATGGCATAATTTATATTTAATATTTTGGTATATTTCAAAAATATTTTCCTCTTGTTATTTATTTAGAAATGGTCAAAAAAAATTTATATGCATATCCTATTTGTATGATAAGGCAATTCTGATTTTATCATATGCAAAACATGCTGGTGACTCATGTGCATCGATATTCTATAATGATGAAGAATGTTTCTCGAACACGTATTGTGCATGTGCACTTATCTGATATGATCATAAATTACTTAATTTAAATGAATATTTAGATGATGTGAATTATTATGTATATTTTTTATTTTTGGTATGTTTTCAAATCTTATATTTTCAATTAGATGATGTGTGTATTATATCCATATTGTATTGTGTTTCCATCCTATGTCTGTATTAGCGCCTCTTAGGAGATGACTCAGTTTGATGATAATGGGGAGTAGAGGCCAAGCCTAATTTGTCTAAAGAAGTTTTACTTAATTGGTAATCTCTGTGTATTATTTATATTGAAAAACTTTCATTGTTAAATTTAGAAACATTCGAGCTCTAATTTTGGTAAATGTATAATTAAAATGAACGTTTCAACAAGAAACCAATAACACCAAATATAGTCTAATGTAGGTCTAAATTAGGGCAAATCTAGCACGATATTATTAGAAATATACTATGACATTAATTGAAGGATAAAATGGTATTCAAATATTGTAGGCTTATAATCAAATTGAGCATCGCATCAATATAAATTCAATAAGCCAATTATCATTCAATTATGAGGTAATCAAGGTACTTAAATATTGAATAAATTGGGTTATAATCAAAAGCTTTGATATGGATTGTCTGATGTAGTTTCTTAAAATTTTGATCAAATTTATTAAAATGCTAATATAATTAAATTATAGATAGAGCTAGATGCTCCACCAGAGACAAAGCTAAACTTGAGATTGTAAAGAACTACAATATTTGAAGTACTCTAGATACTACCTAATATTTGACATCGACAATCAGCGCCAGACGCCACCATCGACCAGTACCATTACAAGACCACTGTCACCCAACCATTATTTTCTAACTATTATCATCCAATTGTCATAGTCCATTTCCCATCACTTAATTACCATTGCATGGCCATCGTCATTAAATGATTGACATTGTTCATCTACTATCATCATCCCTCAACTACTTCTCTCATAATCTCAATTATAACTATTGGATATCATGTAAGCGCTCCTAATTTTGTAATGGTGTCTTCTCCAATTATTAAGATGAATGAACTTTATATGTTTGAGTATATAATGGATTATTTAACTGAGCTAGGTCCAATGATTTTTTTCCTCTCCGTAGATTTTTCCCAAAAAAAATTCAGTGTCACTTGCATTCTTCTTTTTATATATTTGGATTTGTAATAACCTAAATTTTTTTTTAAATGACTTCATTTAAAAAAATGACAATTCACAGTGCACCCGCCCGCGTTGCGCCCGAAGCTGCCCGCGGCCACCCGCACCTGCCAGCGCCCGCCCGTGCTGCCCGAGCCTACCCACACATCACATATGCAAGATTTGAACCTAAGACCTTTTAGTTGGTAGCCAAAACTCCCAACCAACATACCCATGTAAGATACATATGACAGCTAATTTATAAATTTCAAGTAAGAAATTCTATCATTGAACTCGAGAAGAAGCGAATTAACTTTACATTAACTAAAATTAGACTGTCAAATTAAGAAATTAGGTAAATACCTAAATTTGGGAAGAAGAAAATGTTCAAAGTTTAATGATTCAATTGAGATTTAATTAGGAACAAACCCTAAATATTAAACTTACTTAATTATTAAATAAATAATATTATAATGAGATAAGATTATAATAGCTCCACAGATCAAATTTAAAGTGCCAAAATGGGAAAATTTTGAAGCTAATAAGCATAAGAACTTCAAGCAAAGAAAGAATAACTCATTGCATCAGAGCTAAAAAACAATAGGAATTCTAAAATTTTGTTTAATAAATTTAAGTTCTAAATTACTTAAATTGTTATTATTTTTTAATTATTTGATTAAAAATGAATGTTGATAATTTGATTACGAAAGAAGTAGATGGTTCAATCAAATTGGAACCAATTCGCCAATTCGACGATCCAATTACTAGTTCGTCCCGATTTTTTCGTGTTCTTGACATAAATGATTGTCATGACCGGTGAATCAAACTACTTAAGGGATTCGATTCATGATCGAATCGATTAGGTGCATCTGAGGACACAAATATTCAAATGAGATATGACACAATATTATATTTTATGTATATATGAAAATTTAAAAATATTATATGCAATCATACAAATTAAATAAAATATTAAATTAGTCATAAAATTCTAGCCAACATTAAAAAGATGTAAAATTCATGATATTTAAGGATGCAAAAAAATAATAATAATAAAAGATTATCTTTTCTTTTATAAATATTATGCTTCATAAGAAAAGAAATAGAAGAGTTGAAAGGTGAGTTGTTTGCAAACGAGATAAAATCACTTGCATGCATGGGTGTGAAATGGCTGATGGAAATAAAACTAGGACATGAGAAATTTAGAATTTAAGGTTTTGTTTGGGACAATTTTTTATTATTTTCTAGTAAAAAAAAATTGAACTAGAAAAGCTACTTTAAAAAGCGGTAAGAAACTTGTCCTAAATGATTCTACGACATGTATTAGATATGTTCAACATATGTCTGATAATTTTCTTTTTAAGTTGATTAAACTCATGAATGACATATTCGATGTGTGAAAAATGAGAGATTATTCTCTGCGGTCACCTGACGGTCCGGAGGCGAATCAGGATGCATCACGTCACCCGGTACACAACTAAAAAGTGAGACGACGGGTCTTGATTCGCCTCCAGACGGCGTCTGATGACCACACAAAATAATTTCACGTGAAGAAGGCTTGTCGCACACGTTTGATATCTTGAACATAACATATGTCGGGTACTACTTTGATTTAAAATTTGTTTGATTTCTCATGCAATACACTCATCAGTAAGTAAATTCGATAACTTTGAGACTCATCATAATAAAAATTTGATCAAATTCTCCTAATGATCTACAAAAAACTTAACCGCGTGAGAGAGAGACAGAGAGAAGAAGAAGAAGAAGAAGAATATTGAGCTTTAGAGGGAAGCAAAAAAGCTTATTTCCACTAATTTCTGTGGGAAAATGACCATCTTTTCCTGCACTAACAATGGTGCAGATAAGTTAATTGTATACAAAAGAACAATATTATAAAGTTATTTAAGTTCCAAGTTCATAATGAATCAAGCCTAAGTGTTATTACACATCACAAGGACAAAAAATGAGAACAAATAGAGACAAATTAGAGCTCTGTCATTCTACAAGAACAAGTGCTATTGTAATGGAAGAATTATCGTAAGGCCAAGATCGATTCCAGCAATAGCTGGCTCCACCATTCCCTGCAGCCCACAGAATTTCTACTCTTTACACCAAATATAAGCTGTCATTATTGGTCAGAAGGATGGGCTGTTGAAGCGATTCCTTACTTCTATCAAAAGAAAGGCTTTGCGTTTAAAATTTCTTGAATATTTTGTGAAATATCTTACGTAGAGTGTAGCTAAGCTCTTAAACATAAAGATATTTTTTTCTTGTAATGATTAAAATTTCATTAAAAAGTTGGAGCAAGTCCAGTGAAAGATAAGATTAGAGAGAGTCGACTTAGATGGTTTGGTCATATAAAACGGAGACTCTCTGATCACCTGGTTAGGATAGTAGACGTATTATATTTGACTTATGTTAAGAAAGATAGAGGTAGACCTAAAAAAATTTGGTTAGAAAATATTAGAAATGACCCTTCTTTATTAGATTATATGAGAATTTTACACTTAACATGCTACAATAGAAGAAAAAAAAAGTCATGTAGCTGATACCATGTAGTGGGATAGAGGCTTGATGTTACTGTTGTTTAAAATTTCATTAAAAAAAAAACTTCAAAAATAAGCATGCTCTTATAGGAACTTTCTTAGGATAAGTGACCTCCTAAGATGATACTCCAATCACCTCCTGAGATGATACTCCAATTGGACAAAATTATAAGGACATTAGGTCAAAGCGGAAATATCTCGATAGCTAAAAGTTTAGACGGTAACATCATTCCCATCTTAATCAAAAGTTATGTTGTGGATGAGGAGTAAATGACTGCAATGAAACAAATCAGAAAATAGAAAAGTAACAGAAAGTAAAGGACGTTAGGATTTAACGTGGAAAACCTAAAATTGGGGAAAATCACAGAGCCACACCACTCTAAGAAATCTACTATAAAAATTAGGAGAAATAAGTACATATCTCTCTTCTCACTCACTATCTCCTTGCTTCGCTTCTCTCATACATTGTTCTCACACTCAAAACACAAGGAAGTCATGTTAATAACACAAAGGGACGCAACACTTCAGAAAAAATAAAAAAGAAAACTGTCAAATTCACCTCGTAGCGCTGTGGTGCTCAAGCCTCTATCATCATGATACTCCAACGCTCAAACTCGCAGCGCTGCGGCGTAACATAGCACTGCGGTGCCAAATCTAGAACACAGCGACGCTTTTCTCTATGTTGGGCGCTCGAGTAACATAGCGCTATGACGCTCGAGTACATAGCGCTGATATGTTGTACGGAAAAAAAAATTTAGGTGATTTCACCTGAGCCCAAGCAAGGGGTAAGCACCCTGTACCCCTCAACAAGCATAATAATTTGAACTGAGGTCCAAGGCATCAGAACAGTCTGATTGATCAGCACAATCAGATTCCACACATAACTAACAGACTAAACCTATAATATCCATATCGGCTCAAACCCAATAACTACATAAAACTTGGCTCAGTCAGGTTGTATCAGCCGATTTGTGACTTTA